CACTACTACTACCATTCGCCTACTCACTGCGAAGTCCAGAGTGGCACCCACCAAAAAACAATCGTTATCCAAATTAGAACTTTGCGGCGCTCTTCTTCTTGCTCGTCTTTTAGCAAAAATTAAACCAACAATTTCTAACAATTCGTTTAACATTTTTCTTTGGACAGACTCACAAATAGTATAACATTGGCTTAAGATGCATTCTGCAACACTTTCGACTTTTGTTGGTAATCGAATTTCGGAAATTCAAGATTTAACCAAAGGCGCCCATTGGGGACATTGTAACCCGGCGGATGTTGCCTCTAGAGGATGTACTGTAAAGGAACTTGTTAATTCAATATGGTACTCCGGACCAAAGTTTCTATACGAAAACTCTGATAAATGTCCAAAGAACAGCTGCGATGATATCGACATGGAAGTTGTCGATAGGGAGAAACGAAAATCAGCATTTAATACAATTGTTAGCACCAATTACATTTTGGAAATTATGAATCAGCGGAGTAACTACACCAGCAGCCTTCGATTAATAGCTTGGATGTTCCGCTTCATCAATAAATTTCGACATGGAGCTAATCTTAATGACTCATTAACACTTTCACCACAAGAGTTACATCACGCCTTTCTTTGCATAATTTGGAATATTCAACACATACATTTCGCTAATGAAATTCATCTTTTACAGAAAGAGCTTACGATAAATGGCCGGTTACGTTATTTAAATCCTTTTCTCGAGTATATCGAAGGATTTCAAATACTCAAAGTTGGAGGTCGATTGAAATCAGCAGATAGTCCAGAAGAAAGGAAACACCTAATGCTGTTGCCAAACAAATGCGAATTTGTTGTGCATTACGTTCGTCATCCACATCGAAAACACTACCAAGCAGGACCAAAGGCACTGGTAGCACTGATAAGACTTCAGATTTGGATAGTCAATGCGCGCGATTTAGCAAGACGTATCGTCAGATCGTGGACCAAGTAATGGGCATTCGAGGCAAAACACCTTATAAAGCGAACATTGGGATCTTCGTTTGTCTAGCGACAAAGGCGGTTCACATCGAACTAGTATCGGATCTATCCACGGACGCTTTCTTAGCGTCATTGAAGCACATGATTGGAAGAAAAGGTCTACCTTTTGACATCTTTTGCGATAACACAACAAATTTTGTGGATGCTTGCAACAAACTAGCTGAATTAAAGTCATTTTTATTTAAAACCGAAAACAAAGATGCAATTATAAAATATTGTGCTAATGAACTTATAAATTTCAATTTTATTCCTCCAAGAGCACCTCATTTCGGCGGTTTTTGGGGGGCAGCAGTCAAATCGGCTAAGGGTCACCTCAACCGCACCATCAAAAATGCAAGACTCACAGCTGAGGAACTAACAATAGTCCTGGTTGAGATAGAAGCTGTATTAAATTCTCGTCCAATAACACCAATGTCATCGGATCCAAATGATTATGAAATATTAACTCCGGGGCATTTTATTATTGGTAGTTCACTTAGGGCACTCCCAGAGCGGAGATTGTCAGCTAACATCAGCAACGTACAACGATGGAATCAGGTCACAAGCATTAAACAGATGTTTTGGAACAGGTGGTCAAATTAATACATCAACGAACTTCAAGTACGATCAAAGTGGTTTACAGAGCGACCAAACATCAACAACAACTCAATGGTTATCATCCATGAAGACAACTTACCACCACAAAAATGGCATATTGGAAGAGTTATAAACTGTATTCCAGGAAAGGACTCTAAAGTGCGTGTGGTGGACATTCGAACAACGAAAAGAATCATTCGGTGACCAATTCACAAGCTAGCCCTTCTACCTGTTTGAAATGCCTTTCAACGGGGCCGGGATGTTAGGTCGCCGATTGAGAACCACTGCGTTATAAGGTCATATGTTCTATATATTTTTGCTATTTCTTGTTCTCTACTTATTAGCCTAATATTCAAGGGCAAGCATTAGAAATCATTCACCTCAATGCAGTTAATAATTGTATTTGCATTGTGTACATACTTACATATTTATTGCTTGCTTGCGCTTGCTTTGTACACTTATGCTACCGCTATGTTTTCGTCCACGCAATTATATGAATATTTGTTTGTGCACATTAGCTAGTCCCATTTAACATGAACTAAGCTTAATATGTAAGCAGCCTCTAGCAATGCTGCGTTCTCATTTTTTTATATTTCTCTTTTGTTAATAACTACATTATATACGAAGGAGCAATAGAGTAAAGTATGTACTTGGGTTATTCTCCTTTTATGAACTGTTTTTATATAACTTACATACTTATGTATATATGCACTAATAGAAAACGAAACTATGTACTTAGCGGAAATTATGTATTGAACGTTATTGCAATATTGCTTAGCATATTATTTAAGAAGAATTTTGCGTATAAAGGTAGTCTAATAGCTGACCACACATAGCATCATTACTCGGCTCTTTGTATTTTATCGCTGTTACAACTTCGCTTAAATATTTTGCTTTTTCGATATTTGCGCGGCTACAAAAAAAGCTTTGTAGCCCTAAATTTTTTGGCGCCCAACGTGGGGCACGAGTAAGTTTTTTGTTCTTTCGCACATCATTTCGGAGTGTGGTCAGTATTAGACTGCATCGTTGGACATTATCGTCATTGGATATTATCGTTGGCCATTATCGTCCCCATTGGACATCTTTACCATTGGAGTCACCAGCATTGCTCGCACAAAGCACA